TGTTCCGAAACAAGTAGCGTAGCGAAATACCGTTTCTGTCATGTTTTATTTGTCATTTTTTAAAATCGGATTGATGTCTTATGGAGGACTCAGTGCTCGTTGATATTACTGCGCTAGGTAGGAAAACGGAAAGGGATCTGTTTACATTTGGTTGTAGTCTTTTCACTCGGTTCTCCGTGTCTGTGACTTTTTTTACGGTGCGCTAGACACCGTGTTCCGTACAGCGTCCTGGTTGTCAGCATCAAGTGGTCGGGAGTGTGCTAATGCTTCAGACTCAAATATCGAGCGGAAGTTTATACGCGGTTGTGAGGTATCTGAAAAAATAGTTCCACTATAGCAAACAACACGGATTGAAAGCATACATTGCGCCAATATATTTGTTTTTAAACATCAACGAACACCACCAACCACTCGGTGAGTTGCACAATTTTGAAAATGAACGTTAAGGGTTGTTTTAAGGACATGTTTGTGCATGCCCATAGACAGCCAGTCTAAAGCTCTCACAGGCGATTCTAAAATAGTCAAAAAGTCGAGACAGGACCCATTGTCAAAATTTCTAAGTCCACCACTCTCTATTTCATTCACAACAAACTACAAAATAGACTCAAGGTGTTAAATACCGGAATTATCCTTTAACGCGAATCTTCCTCTAATACATGTCAATGGTGGGGGCCTGGGTCTGGTCCCTCTAAGGCAGTGGTCACCAACCTTTTTGAGCCTAAGATCCCTGACCTCAGCCCTGATTAAAGGCAAGATCTACCTAATGAAGAAAGTGAAAGAAAGCCAAAATACTTCCAACTAGAGGTCTTTTATTTAGGCAGACTGTAACTGGTGCATTAAACAGGTTGTATAGCTTTAAGAACTTTACATCACAACATCAATTTTAAGTTGCATTAAATTCATATGAATACAAATAAGAAAGGAATGTGGCCTATTTTCTATTTGCTTTATAGAATTATGTAGGTAGGGCCTTTGAAAAATTAGGTGATAAGAGGGAACTTTTAAAAATTAATTAATGCATTATCATGAACTAATAATGAACAGCATTTATGAATTATGTAGATTAGGTTATTTTGTTCATAGTGGGAAAAAAATAAACACACACATTCCTTGTCTTTGATGGTTTGTGACATTTTTTCCAGGTTGGGAAAATGTGTTAGTCTCCTCCCGTTTAGATGTGTGGTCCAAAAACCGAGCTTGGCCTTGAACGCATTCACTGCGCTTATCATGTGGGACAGGGATCGGTTTTTTCCCTGCATCTCAGTGTTGAGTGCATTCAGTTTTGCCGTTAAGTCTGTCAGAAATCCCAGGTCAAGTAGCCACGCATCATCTGACAATTCTTTGTGCTCCTCATTCCTTGTTGAGAGAAAAGTCTTTATCTCTGGCAGCAAGTCAACAAATCTCTGTAACACTTTGCCGCGACTTAGCCACCGGACATCAGCGTGAAAAATCAGGTCTCCGTAAGCGGCATCAAGCTCATCCAATAACGCCTTGAATAAACGATGTTGGAGAGCTTTTGCTCGAATCGAGTTAATCAGTTTGACCACTAGTGTCATGACGTGAGAGAAGTCCACGACTTTCCCAACCAAGGCCTGCTGATGAATTACGCAGTGATAATTTAAAAAGTCTGGAAAAGCAGGATCATTGCGGCACAGCGCTATAAAACCGGAGCGCACACCGCGCATTGCCGGAGCCCCATCAGTAGTGATTGCCACCAGTTTATGAATGGGAATGCAATTTTCATCGACGTATTTTTTAAATTCGTTAAATATATCCTCACCTCTTGTTCTGTCCTTCAAGTGCAGAAGAGTGAGAAAGTCCTCCTTGGTTGTAGAATCCTGGAAAAACCATCCTGACAAATACAACAAGCTGAGCTGTGTCCATTACATCCAGGGATTCATCCAATTGCAGTGAGAAATATTCACAAAATGACAGGTCCCTTAACACCTGTCGATCCACGTCCTCCGACAGTGATTCGACCCTTCTTGTCACTGTTGCGGGGCCTAGCGGGACACTGCTGAATGCTGTTTTGATGTCATCTTTTTTTTTGAAGTCGTTGCAAACTGTGTCGGCAATAATATCCATAGCCTGCTTGATTAACTCGCCATCTGTAAAAGGCTTCTTATGTTTGGCCAAAAGGTGACTAACACGAAATGATGCTTCTGTAGCAGCCTTATGTAGAACAGCAGGTTTAGTGAAGAGCGACTGCTGGGCTTTCAATTCCAGCTTTAGCTCCGCAACTTTTTTAGAACGGATGGCGCTATTCGGTGGATAGCTGTCCTTAAAGGTCGGATGATTAGTATTGTGGTGCCGCTCCAGATTTCCTCTTTTAGCCAGTGCTTGTGTTTGCCGGCATAACATACATATACACTTGTCTTTAACTAACGTAAATACAAACTGTTCTTCCCATTCCGGATGAAAATAATAGGTTCGCGGCTTCTTTCGCGGCGCCTCAGCCATGTTAGCTGTCTGTAACTAACTTGACTAAAACTCCCGCGCTCTGCAGCGTCTACGCACATAAAGCCCGCCTACTTAGATTTTATTGGTCATCTCAAATATTTTGACATTGATGAGCAGTGACAGACCAATGAGGCTCAGATGAACACAGTCAACAACACACACGCACACGTCACGTTACGTACACACACACACACACACACACACACACAACCTGTCCTCTGCGTGCGCTCAGCTCTGCGCCACTGCGGATTGAAGACAAAGCGCTGAATCTGATTAAAACAACACTGAAGAGAACACGAATTTGTGTAGCCTAAACTTAATCACACATTTTAGGGGGGGTTAGGCAGAAGTTCAGAGGGGCTGAAGCTGTTTTAATATTATTTTCACGATCGACAGGAAAATCTCAAAGATCGACATGTCGATCGCGATCGACGGGTTGATGACCCCTGCTCTAAGGGTTTAGGCCTCAAACAGGGTATTAGAGCAGTGACCAGTAGAAATATGATCTTCTCAAACACAATTGCACATGGCCAATAATACATTATTTGCTTCTGGGAACACAAACACTGACTGATACAGTGGAACAATGCCAATTTGTTAGATTATTCAGTGTTAGACAGAAAACATCTGAAATGTAATGTGGTACTGATTAGAAATTATATGACTAAAATCTTTATTTGGTGTTTCAAGACAATCATGGTCTATCAAAGATATCATGGTCATCACCAGCATAAGGTATGTTTTGCATGCTGAGTTTGTTCAGGAATTTTTTTAGAAGGGTATTTGAAGAATAATAATAATAATAAATTTTATTTATATTGCGCTTTTCTTGTACCCTAAGCGCTACAATCACAGTACAAAAGTAAAATATTTTAACAGTTAAAGGAGAACTCCGGCGAACAATGAACCTTTGGTCTAATAAAACATCGGTACATAGTCAACCATTCTCTGAGATTTGTTTTCATGATAATCGAATGTAAAGAGTTTTATCTCTAAAAACTGTTTAGCGTATAATGCTAGTAATGGGGGCATTGACTAAGTAAAAAGAAATCGCAAGTTTACACCACTAACAAGGCTCAAAATAGCTCCACACTAACGCAGTAACATAATGAGGCTCCATACATGCAAAACGAAGCATTGAGAACTTTGTAAGTGTACAGACCGTTTAATAAGAAGATACTTTATGAAGACAGTTCACTTCGTACATACAGACAGGAGCCATCTTAAAAAATAGTCTCGATAAGTCGATCCCCGAACGCCGCTCATACAGTTCAGAAGTTCGCTGAACTTCATAGAGTTCAGATCACTCAGCACGACGTTCGTGGTTTGACTTATCGAGACTATTTTTTAAGATGGCTCCTGTCTGTATGTACGATTGACTATAGTACCGATGTTTTATTAGACCAAAGGTTCATTGTTCGCCGGAGTTCTCCTTTAGGATACATTAACACCAATTAAGACACAAACACATTCTTAAAAAGATGGGTTTTTAACAGTTTCTTAAAACTCGTTAATGTTGCAGCATTCCGAACAGTTAAAGGAAGTGCATTCCACAACCTGGGGGCTGCCACAGAGAAGGCTCTTTCATCCATTGGGCGGGTGGGCGGAGCAGAGAGATTGAGAGGGCATATATGGCGTAATTAAATCACATATATATGATGGTGCAGGGTATTAGAGCAGTGCAGGGTGTTGAACATACCAAATACAAAGGCTTAAAATGATCCTTGAGAAAATACTGACACCACAAGATGCCCTCTGTTGATAGCCAATTTGTAACATTCCCATTTGTGAACCAGCATTTTCCAATAAAGTGTACTTCCACAATGTTTGTAGTAAATGTTCTTGCCAATGTGGACTTATAGGTTGCATGCAATATTTCTGGGGATTGTTTACTCTCTTTTTTTTTAACTGAGTTCTTTGATAAATATACTTTGTTCTGTAACTTTATAAAAGCTTTCTAACTTTATAACTTCTTTTTATAATATTTTTGGTCTACATTTTTTTAGGACGTTAATAGCTTTAAATACACTATTATTCATATTTTTTGTAAGAAGTCTGTTCTGTTCACTAATATTACAAGGGCCACAGTACACTGGGGTGGAACACTATATGTTTCTTATGTATGTTTCTTATGTAACTTATGTAATGGTGTACGGGAGGACCATGTTAAGATGGCCAACAGTATACTGTATGTAGACAGCCACTTACCTTATTTCTATGACAATTCTTCTGATACTCCACCACAACTCAAAGTAAAATATTCAAACTATGTAAGGAGGAAATAACCATAAACGTCAAACAATTAAAACTGTTTAAACTTTCAGACGGCACATACTTTTCTAGTTTTTTGTGCAGCTCTGTTTGGTGACACTTGTGGTGCAGAAATGCAAAAAAAGTTCTCTTTTAAACATGTAAATTCGTTTTCACTCTACATTCCTCCGGCAATGTTGTATTTCAACAGTCATGCCAATAAAACTTCACTGAAAGATGAGAGACAGAGGGACAGGGTGAGAGAGGGGGTCACAGCCTGTGCTCCTTACCGGATAGCCCTCTGTTTTCTTCTGGCACCACTTCAGTAGAGCGTTCCTCTTAGATCCACCATACTCCCGCGCCAGAGCAGACAGAGGGTCTGTTCTTTCCACACTAGCATCAGGGGACACACAAATACACACGTACAGTCACTAACACTGCATCTGTACATATTGGTGACCCGTTAAATGTTTAACCACAGCTAAAATCCTCACAAGCTTGTGAGAGTACATCCGTACATCAGGGGTGTTGCTCTGCGAGAGACACAGCATGAAAGATAATCAGATCTTTTTGTGTTCTATTAGATGACTCTGTGGTCAGTCATTGCTCTGGAAGTAAACTGTATGCGTCATCGTTTTATCACCTTTCACATTGATGTCTGTAAAGGTTTGAAACAAATACAAGACTTAATATCTATTTATATGGCATAATATTATATCTAAAATAATATCAATGGATTACACTACTGTTTGCTGTTTAAAGAGATTACTGTATAAAGAGATTCATACTTTTATTCAGTAAGGATTTTTATTTCAAATAAATGCTATTTTTTCTTTATAGAAAAAAATGTATCATGGTTTCCACAAAAATATTAAGCAGCACAACTGTTTTCAACATGTGATAATATCAAGACATGTTTCTTCAAAATCAGCATATTAAAGTGATTTCTGAAGGATCATGTGACATTTAGAGCTACATCTTAGAGCTCAAACATGACAGGTCAGGAAGCAGACAGACTGGCTAAACCAACCGTATGCTACAGTAGCGTTCTCACATGACTGAGATAATTTTTTAGTCTATGGATAAATCCCATCACATAGAGACTCTTTCACCTAGATATCATCATATAGAGGCTGTGTCTATTCCTCGAAATTAGGAAATACAAAAAAATCCCAAACCCATTTAAGGATAAAAATTGAATTGATGTTCAACAAATAAAAAAAAAACAGATATAATACAGATAAACAAAAGATAAAACTGGGGTTGCTGAATATTAGATCCCTTACTTCAAAAGCACTTGATTTGATTGATTACAGATTATAACCTAGATGTGCTGTGTTTGACAGAAACCTGGCAAAAACCAGATGATTACATTGCTTTAAATGAGTCCACCCCACAAGATTATTGTTATAAACATGAGCCTCGTCTGAAAGGCAAAGAGGGAGGTGTTGCTGTAATTTATAGTAATATCTTTAGAATGACTGAGAAAACTTGTTTCAAATATAATTATTTTGAAGTGTTGGTGCTTATGTAACACTTTCTAGTGTAAATGATGAATCACGTTTGAGATTTGTGCTGGCTACTGTATACAGGCCACCAGGGCACCATACAGACTTTATCAAATAATTTGCTGATTTTCTATCAGAGTTAGTACTGGCTGCAGATAAAGTCCTAATTGTTGGTAAATTTAAAGGGGACATATCATGCAAAATCCACTTTTTTAGCCCTTAAATGCATTTTGTTGTATATTTGGAGTGTTTATAAGTACAGAAAAGATGAAATTATTCTCTTCAGGTGCTTCGTTTATATCTTTATATTCTGTTTTGGTCATATTTTTCAACCTGTTCAGTTCCCTTTCGTAGTCACTCCGAGTTACGTCGGATGACGGAGAATGGGGGTTTCGCATAGAAAGCCAATCCTCTTCGAGTATTTAAAAACGAGCCAATGGCATGAAAATGCCTTGGGTCAGCGGAATTTGCATAGCGTATCTCCGCCCCACCTCGTGGGTATAAAAGAAGGAAGCAGACGCAACTGCAGTATGTTTTCGCTTCGGAGCCAAGAGAACTTCTTCACTCCAAAAGCCACACAATCTGAGTTTACTACTGTGACTCACCTCTTCGAGACGAGCGAACTCTCTGGTGTTGGTGTGACGGCGGTATCCAGCGAGTTTCACATTGCCTGCAATCTGAGCAGTGGTCTGCCAGTGTGTGTGTCTCTCCCTGGTCGCTTCAACATCCGCGGAGTTTTCTCCTTTCACTGAAAGAGTGTGCACGCGGCACGTCTTTTTAAAGACGATCTGCCCGTGTATTCCTGAGTGCGATATTTTGATAGAGTCAGCTGATGGGCACGAGTGCTGTTTGACGTGTTTGGGCTTTAATCACGCTCAGACAGCGCTCATGGGTCTGTCACGTTCTCTAAGTGGGAACGTGACCATTGCAACACGTGGTCCCGAGTGACTTCGCGGCTGCCAAAAATAAAATAAAATAAAAGGGACCGATAAAATTTTTTTTAAATAAAAGGGACCGCATTCTCATTCGGTCCCCCAGTTAATGAAATCATGTTTATCGTCGCATCACAAGGTGAGCTGTAGTTCTCTGGAGTTGGCTCGTCTGTGCTGCTGTCCTCAGATGTGCTGGCATAGCGAGTTAGATTCAGAGTTCACAGCTATGCTTTTCAGGCTGCCACGAGTGTTGGGTTTGTGTGGAAAATTCTGCCATGTCCCAAGCACTTTAGGCTGATGATTGTTTTTTTGGGGGTGGCGAACCTAAATCCTTTCTACCCGGATGTGCATGAAGAGGCCATGAGATTGTGGAAGTCTCTTTGACTTTCGCGACTGCTCAGCGGCCTCTTCCGCCTTCTCTGCCCTGGTAGAGGCCGCAGTCTAGGGTGCACAGGGGTTCCCCCCTGTGGAGTGTTCTGTGGCAACACTTAGGTGTCCCCACAGTGCCTCCACCTGGCGTGGCAACCCTGAGCACCCCCCCAATGCTGTAGGTTCTTGTCTACTCCGGTGGCGGGACCTATAGAGCTGCGGGGCAGGCTGCCACCTCACTGTGTGTTATTGCCTTTGGGGTGTGCAGTAGGGCTGGGGGAGAATCTTTTCTTCAAAGAGCTGCATTCCATCTCTGAGCACACAGAGCAAGATGAAAGTGAGCAACGCCCCTGTGCCTCGCCACTCTCATTCTCCTCTGTCTCTGAGGGTGCGGATGGGAGTGTGTGTCGTCCCTGGACCACGCCACTCCCATCCCCCTGTATCGCCAAGCCCCCGGCAGAGCAGACCCCCGTGGAACGCTGGTCCTTCCCTGGTCTCCTCTGTCGGGGGGCGGAGCTCGACTGTGCACCCGCGGGGGTAACAGTCCGCCCCGCTGCTCCTCCGGGGGGACGTCTGTGGCTCGGATGATCCCGCTGGATCGGTTTCTGGGAGCTTGGTTAGAGCTCCCCGGCCTGTCCCGCTGGGTCGCTCGAACGATCAGACTCGGCTATGCGATTCAGTTCGCACGATCTCCTCCCCGCTTCCGGGGAGTTCGCTTTACGGTGGTCGGTGGCAATACCCTGATCATGAGAGCGGAGATTGCCGCCCTGCTGGCGAAGGGTGCAATCGAGACTGTCCCTCCAGCCGAGATGAGGTCTGGGTTTTACAGCCCTTACTTCATGGTCCCCAAGAAGACCGGTGGATTACGACCGATCCTAGATCTTCGAGTTTTGAACCGTACTCTTCACTGACTGCCGTTCAAAATGCTCACGGACAAACGCATTTTCGAGTGCATTCGGCCTCAGGATTGGTTTGCAGCGATAGACCTGAAGGACACGTACTTTCATGTCTCCTCGACACAGACCATTTCTTCGGTTTGCTTTCGAGGGACAGGCATATCAGTACACGGTCCTCCCATTCGGGTTAGCTCTGTCTCCTCGCGTCTTTACAAAGATTGTTGAGGCTGCCCTTGTTCCCCTTTGCAGGGTTCGCATCCTGAGTTATCTCGACGATTGGCTGATCCTGGCACACTCTCGAGAGCAGGTTTGCGAACACAGAGACCTTGTGCTCCAGCACCTAACCCATCTGGGCCTTCGGGTCAATCGGGAGAAGAGCAAACTTTTCTTTTTTCGGTATGGAGATAGACTCGGTCGCCATGTCCGCGCAGCTCACGAGCGAGCGCGTTCACTCACTGCTGACTTGTCTTCGACAGTTTGAGGGCAAGAGTGCGGTCCCACTGAAACTCTTTCAGAGGCTCCTGGGGCATATGGCATCCGAAGCCGCGGCGATGCCGCTCGGACTGCTTCATATGAGACCGCTTCAGCTGTGGCTTCGCGATCGAGTCCTGAGGTGGGCATGGCATCGCGGTTAGCTCAGAGTTCCAGTGACTCCCACCTGCCGTCAGACCTTCTTCCCGTGGTCGAACCTCGAGCTGCTGGCAGTACGCCTGGCCCTGCACCGCTTTCGAGCATTGCTCCGGGGTCAACACGTACTTGTCCGATCAGACAATACCGCAACAGTAGCGTATATCAACCATCAGGGTGGTCTAGGCTCACATCGGATGTCGCAGCTCGCACGCCACCTCCTATTATCGCTCCGGCCAGTACTGGACCCGCTCAGGTGTCTTCGCTTGCTCGCCATTCCACTTCTCGGACTGGAAAAGTGCGATATTTCCTCAGCTGAGCCTTCCGTTGAAGCCCTGAGTCCTCCAGCACTGTTGATGCTGGCGCCAGTGTCTGTTGCTCTGGACGTCGGCTAGGTGCCTCCGTGTGTATGGTTCCCCTGGTAACTGTCACATGTGTATTCTCCACTGTAAGCCTCTCTGAGCATGTGTCTTCCCTCGGCAAGCCACCGTGCCACTCCTGGAGTTAAGTTTCTAGCCACCCTCAGGTTGGTGACTCCAGTGTTCCTCCATATGAAGTCCCCTTGGGCCATATATGTATTCTTACGGGTAGGCGTACTACAGCATATTCCTCCCGGGATATGCTCCCCAGTGTACCTTGGTATTCCTATGTTGAAGTAGGACTCCTTGTCCGTAGCTAAGTTGACAGGAGTTCAGACTTTCGCAGGGCACTGGAAGACAGCTGTGAAGGTGGCGCGATGGCACGGACCCCCATTCTCCGTCATCCGACGTAACTTGGAGTGACTACGAAAGGGAACGTCTCGGTTACGGATGTAACCCTCGTTCCCTGAGTAGGGAACGGAGACGTTACGTCTCCCTGCCACTTCCGCTGTACCGCTGGGTAGATGTCTGAGTTCAGTCTCGGCTCCTCAGCAAAGACATACTGCGGTTGCATCTGCTTCCTCCTTTTATACCCATGAAGTGGGGCGAAGATACGCTATGCAAATTTCACAGACCCAAGGCATTTTCATGCCATTGGCTTGTTTTTAAATACTCGAAGAGGATTGGCTTTCTATGCAAAAC